GTATAGTGAATTACAATCCATGCATATATGGATGATTATTTTGTGACAGTGTTGGCCCTTCTTTCTAGTAGGGGAAAAAAGTTGATCTCCTTAATATTCTCTTTGAGTCCACTGGTTATTCATACAGAAAAAAAAAAGACTTGATTTCTTTCTCCCATTGTGCACTAAATGAAGTCACAGGTGGGTTGCATGTTTAAATGGGGAACACAAAAACAATAAAACTTCTAGAAGGTATATTGGGGAATATCTTAGTATTCGTTGAATATTCTTAAGCTGGACTACTTACAGCACTACTTATAGGGGAAACATTGAACTATGTTAAAATTTAAAATTGTTATTTAGAAGACACTGCTAAGAGAGTGAAAAGACAAGCCACAGACTGGGAGAAGATATTTGCAGCACATTTAATTGACAAAGGGCTCATATACAGAATCTATAAAGGACATCTACATGTTAGGAAAAACACAACAAGCAACCCATCATAAACACAAGCAAAATCTGTGAAATGACACTTCACACAGAAGGCTATACAAATGGCAAAACAATGAGAAAATTTAACATTATTAGTAATCATGGAAATACATACCCAAACCATAATGCAATACCCGGGTTCAAAATCAGAATGAGTAATGTTAAAATTATAGGCAATAATATCAATTTGTGAGAATATGGTACAGTGAGAACTTTCATAATACTGCTGGGAGGTGAAGAGTGAAATGGTACAACAATTGGGAAAATAGTTTGGCATTATTTATTAAATTTGACGACGTGCATCTAATAGGACCCAGCAATTTTCATTTCTGGGTATGTCCACGTGCTCCAAGAGCCATGCACGAGAATGTTCACAAGACATAATTCGTAAGAGCCCCAGACTGAAAGCAACCCAAATTTTCATCAGCAGATCAGCAGTGGAACAGAAAAATATATCATAGTTTGTGTATAAGATGCAGTTCTCGACATTATCATGGAATATGAAGAAAGTGACTACATGCAACAACGTGGGTGAATCACACATAGTGTCGAATGAAAGAGGCCAATCACAGCACTACAGATGGACAATTGCACTCATTTAAGTTTGAAAACAGGGAAAACTAAATTGCTGTTACTTAGTTTGTAAAATTAAAAACAAACAAACACAGATCACTTTAAAAATAAGATGGCGTGGCTTTCTTTGTTGGAAAGAAGAGGTCAGGAGTTAGGAGGTGATAGAAAGGGACTTTCTGGTTCCTGGCAATGCTCTAGTCCTTCACCTGGTTGGATATTGACATAGTGTTTGTTTTGTAATATAAAATCGAGCTGTATATCTTTGTTTTGTTCTCCTTTCTATGCATATATTTTATTTAATGACAAAGGGAATTAAATGCTTTAATATTTAAACTACTTACTCTATCCTTTTAGATATAGCAGCTAACCAAAGTTTCCTTTCTAGTTGCTTGAAAACACCTGAAGCCCTTAACTTAATTATTTTTGAATAGTGCTTTAATTAATCCTTTTGTTTAGTTGATTTATCATCATATTTCAGTTCTGACATTACTTTGCATCAATTTAGCAAGGTAAATTAATATTGAATGCGAATCAAATGCTCTGATGTCATCTGGGTAAACACCTTTTTAAATTTAATCTTTATTTTATTATTTTAGAGACGTGGTCTCACTATGTTGCCCAGGCTGGTCTCGAATGCCTGATTTCAAGTAATCCTCCCTTCTTGACCTATCAAAGTGCTAAAATTACAGGTGTGAGTCACCGTTACCAGCCACTGCTCCCAGCCAATACCTTATTTAGTTTTAGATGATTATAAAGCTATTTATTATGGTTTCAGAACTGAATGAAAGTGCACAAATAGAGTAGATTATATTAATACTCAATAGTTTGATCACTGGAGAAAGGACTTAATAGTTTGTAAATACAGTAAAAATTATTATTATTATTATTATTTTGAGTTGAAGTCTCACTCTGTTGCCCAGACTGGAGTGCAGTGGCCGCTCCCGGCCACCACAGCCTCGACCTGCTGGGCTCCGGCGATCCTCCCGCCTCAGCCTTCCAAGTAGCCGGAATTACAGGCATGCGCTACCACGTCCGGTTGACTTTTTGATTTATTGTAGAGATGAGGTCTCGCTGCCCAGGCAGGTCTCGAACTCGTGGGCTCAGGCAATCCACTTACCTCAGCCTCTCAAAGGCGTGGGATTACAGGCTGAGCCACCGAGCCCGGCTGTAAAAAGTATTCTTAATCTACCTAACTGACCTACGATCTTACTGGATGATAGAGGCAATTTATATCCTGTATCTGTATGTCATACCTATTTGAAGCAATTCTATTATTGAAAAATAATAAATAATAAAAATGTCCCTCAGTATTGATCATAACACTATGGGTCGCCAAATTTAATTATATTTTGTGAATCCCCTTAAAACTATAGTATGATACTTCCATCTCAGGGAACAAAATTAAGCAATTTTTTTTTCCAGCAAGGTGAAGAGTCTGAGTTTTAATCCTACCACAAGTTAGTAGTTTACAGTTACATGGATGCTGGTAGAAGATACAAAACTCCTGGTTTCAAGATAAATAATTTTATCACTCAGGCACAACAGACGATATGAGCATCAACATATCTTGCACTGGTTCCCGATCCCTAATTCCCAAAGGGCTAGAGAAAGAGGTCAGGTGACACTTGCACACACAATGAGTGGCAGTGGAGCAGAGTAGCTGTGAGTTCATGGAATTCAAATACGTCTGTCTACTCATTGCTCAGGTGAGAGACACTACGGTTTTCAATGCTGTAAATAAATCTACCCTTTTTTTTCCAGATGGAGGTGCTATCTCTACCTTTCAAGGCGCTTCCAAGGCTGTTCACTTGAGGTCTGACCATTAAGTTTGTGACCTCGTCTTAGAAAAAGTGCTGCATACCTCACTGCATTTTTTTCCTGACTATATTTGCAAGAATGTTTGTATACATCAGCTAACAATTAAGTTCGCGAACTCATCCTAGAAAAAGAGCTACATACTTCATTGCTGAATATCACTATGGTCACCTTCCAAGTACTCCCCTTGGAAGCTATGCACAGTGCTGTGTGAGCTGGTGCATTGTCATGATGCAAGCATTTATTTGGGACCATTTTTACACACAACTTTCTTATGCCAAGATTTTCAGTAAAGATTTTCCTGTTTCTCTATCGATATTTATTTGGTCTGCTATGCTTCTCACAGTCAGTTGACAATTTTGATGCACAATTTGACGAATTTTTGCAATTTTTTTTTTTTTTTGAGTCGGAGTCTCACTCCATCGCCCAGACTGGAGTGCAGTGGCCGCTCCCGGCCACCGCAGCCTCGACCTGCTGGGGTTCCGGCGATCCTTCCGCCTCAGCCTTCCAAGTAGCTGGAACTACAGGTGTGCGCCACCACACCTGGCTCATTCTTTTGATTTATTGTAGAGATGAGGTCTCACCAAGTTGCCTAAACAGGTCTCTAACCCGCAGGCTCAGGCAATCCACTCACCTCAGCCTTCCAAGGCGTGAGAGTACAGGCTGAGCCACCGAGCCCGGCTTAGCTGACAATTTTGACACACAATTCAACGAATTTTTGCAATGTTTTAATCAGTTCTGTTCATTATTGGGTGAACTTGAACTCAGGACCCCACTCTAGTTTGTAGGCCCAAAGTTGCTCTTCGTGACACACTCACGCGTTGCCATAGAAAGCATTTCTTTTCCTCAAGCCCACAGACCATCATCTTAAGCTCACAGACCTTTGCTCGTCTATAAAGACTCTGGTGCAAAGACGGACGCGTTTCCCGAAATATCGCTTTGGTATGGGGCGAGAAACGGGGCAAGCGGTGCCCTGGCCCCCCTTTGGGGCTCGTGTGGCGCTGGTTTCCAGCCTCTTCGATGGCAACTTAGCCGGCGGCGAGCGGGTCCCCGACTACTCGGGCAAGTTCCTCCGGGGCCGGAGTCCACCAGCGCGTGGGAAGCGCCACGGCCCTCCCTTCCGGACCCC